CCCCAAAACCCCAAAACCCCAAAACCCCAAAACCCCTTCAGCGGGTAAATTATTGATACTATCTTTCAACAGATATTGAGTTACTTTTAGCTTTTCTCTTGTTAAAGAATCCCAAGTCGTATCGCTTCATGTTGCGACTCAGTCAGGCTGCTTCTAGAAACAAGTCTTGTTCACGCTTGCTTCAACTCTTGCTGGCTTTTCCATTCTTTAGAGACTGAATTTTTGCATTTTTGAACCTAAAGTTGGAGTGAAGCTTACAACCCGAAGATCTTGGATTTCAAGTTTATGTAAGGACTTGCGTCTTGATTCTGGTACCGCTGAGTTCCAAACTTAAGGCTCTTAGCCAGTTTGGTGATTCGGTCTTGTCTGGTTGACTCTAGAGGATAAGGCCAGGACTACTCTTGATTGGGTCCACAACAATCTTACGGTCTGACCGAAAGCTTGTTGATTGTTTATATTTGTTAAATTCTTCTTGGCTATCATACTTTTTGTTGATCCAGTACACATTCTTCTACATACAAATTAGCCAGAAGACTCCATATAATAGGAAGAATATCAAAGATTCAGCGCACCTTGACATGACCCATCTCGAGTGTTGTTTTCACAACACTGGTTTCAGCTCCAAACTTGGATGGCAGCATCTTCTGCTGAATGGCTTTGCCGTACCAGACCTGAATAAACTAAGCTTGGCTGCTTACTTGAGAAGAACGCTTTCTGATGTTGTCAACTTTGGGCTTGCTCCTGACTGAGTTGTTGGAGAGCTTTGACAATCTGTGTTTATTGCTGTGTAAAGGAGATTTCTGCACAGAACGAGGTATCGAAGAAGTCTGACTTGGCAGTCCCTGGCAATTTCGTGAATATACTCGAGGAATGGCTTCTTGGATACCAGGCTGAACAATGTTTCTGTGAAGATCTGCTTGCTTTTTGTTGGGCTTCTTGATCACACTTATCTTAACATCTTGCAAGTCTTTGTTCAGAATCGTTGTCTTGCTAGTTAGGGACTTTGAGATCAAGATTTGAGACCTCTTCTTAAGCCTGTAAGAGGTGTTTGAGTTATTTAGAAACCTTAAATATGGGCTCTTTAATGGGCAAATTTCGAGATTTTTGTGAAACTATTTGGTTTTTCTTTGCAAACAAATTAGAACGGAGAGTCTGGAAATAGGAGATTTTTCAGCCGGATAGTGGTTCAATATTGAAGTCAAGATCACTATGTTCAAGATATCCTATGATCATATAAATGAGCTTACCAAAGCTTTCAACATCGTTCTGGTCAAGAATAAACCCAGAATGTTTAAAGGTGTTGTTTGCCCTATTTGTAGTGGCGTAGCTCGGTTTGCTAAATCCGAGCTCATCGCAAATATCAAACCAATTCCAAACTTTTCTGATTCTACTGAAGAACATTGGGTTCTTCATGTCTTCAATTGTATATGCTTTCACAAACACTTCATTATTCTATAGACTCATATGATTAGTCCAAATCATCTTTGTAAACTCTTGATAAATATCGGGCATACCTTAGATGCTTGTAATGTCTGAAACATCAGCGCCCAAATTTTCCACCCCACATCTAAAAATAGTCAACCTGTGCCACTCAGTCTCCAAACGCTTACCTTGTTTGTAGGTTCTAAACCTAACAAACTGAAGACGACGGATGGAATCGATCCCTGAGGAGTAGTCCATGCCTAAATAATTTGAGACAATCCAATAATAATGTGAACGAACTACCAGCACACAGTAGAAGATTTCATTCAGAAGGTATTTTATGGTAGACACATGAGTACTTGCATCTCAATCAAACTATTCTAAGAGTGCGGAGTGAACTTAAAGTCCCCCAGATAAATCCATGACTCTTTGTTAGAACTCTACTTTGTCAAAAGTCTTACATTCTGTGCCAACTGCATTGGAATAGGAAACAACCTCAGGCAGACTTTCTCTGCGACCTGAGTGAAGTACACAGTAAATATCGTCGGAAATACAACCAGGAGTGATTTCTAGTCACTCTGGAGGCTTCATGTACTGTAACCCATAAAGAGACTGCTGATGATGGAAGTTAGCAGTTATCTTGGAAAGATGAGAGTAGCAGTGGCTAAACAGTTAAGACAATGCGCTACCTTTCAATGTAAAACTCTGCATGGGAACTCTTTCTGACTCTCTCGATTTCTTCCTTGATCTTCTCTATCATCTGCAGTTTCATTCTGAGTTTCTGGTCGATAATATTAAAACAAAGCAGAGAGGAGCTAAATGGCAAAGAGTTGACTTCAGTAGAGGGAGATATCTAGACTAATACCTATCTAAGAGCATCTGGTTTGTAAAATATTTCATGGAGTGCAATCTAGTATTGCTTTCCACTCTAATGCTTACCAGGTCAAATCTTTTAGAACCTAAGTTTCCAAGCAACCCATGCAGACTGTATTCTCCTCGCAGCCTGTGTCTCAACTTCTTGGCGTTGAATCAAGAGATTCCGAGTTTTTTTCTTGGCAAGCCAGCATCTGAAGAACTTTTGGATCAAAATTATTTTAGATTCGATTGATGCTAAAGCCAGGTGAATAGTTAGCGAAGGAGTATCACTTATTGTCAGGATAAAGTATACTCTCTCAACCATATGCTGATGTCGATTGAGCAAGAATACAAATTTCAAACTAGAAAATATTTTAAATATTCTCATATGATCATTTTCTATCTGTCTACCTCATTTGGACAATTGGTTCACAAAGATTTGTTGTTATGAATTCATTCGTAAACTTACACTTGGAGTTGTTAGAAGATGCCAACTCATTTTCAAATACTTTGTGTCAATTAAGTGTGTCATAAGAAGGCTATATTTTGAGTTATATCAAGAAGTAAATGAAGCCCAATGATTTAAACTATAGTAGCAAAATATGCATATACTGAGCTAAAATTTACATCGAACATGCTAGGTACAATATATCCCCATCCTTGTTTGATTTCGTTGTTTCTAAACATAATCTGGCCAACCTACTTCCATTCCTGCTGGAGTCTGGCAAATTCTCTCTTGCCTCTAGCTCTAACCAGCCATCCTCTAACATGTTTCTGGAGAACGATTGCCCTCTGTTCTTTAGGGTCTACTCAAAGTCAGGTTTTTCTACTGGATTGGCTTACCTTTAGTGGCAACGAGGTTCCAAGACATTCAATTATTATATAAACTCTCGGGGTTTTGGGGTTTTGGGGTTTTGGGGTTTTGGGG